GTGGGAGCTGAAATCCAGCTCACTCTGTTCACATAGGTCAGGGCCCTGCTGTGGGGCTGGGTCTGCACAGAGGCAGAGGAAGGGACACTGAAAAACACAAGGCACCTTCATCTTGACCAGCCGGGTCCCAGAAGGTAGCACACACCCAGGGGTACCCTGCTTTTCTAATTCGCACAAAGGTGCCTGTGGCTGCCACAGTCAACTCCGGGGTTCCCTCTGTTCTGAACAATTATCTTACAAATGTCAATGCTGGTTATAGGGGGACCTAGATGAGAGAGTGGGAAGCTTCCTTGGGCCATCTTCCCCTTTAAACCCAGCTGAACAACCAGAGTCAAGGAATGAACCCTCATACTGCCACCAAGTCTGTGGTCTGCTTATACAGGAGAGGCTGGTAGAATAAACCTGCATGAGCTGTGACTTGCCTGCTAGGTAAGTCCTGGGGTCCAAGTTGCGTCTTTGGTTTGATGACTCCAGTGTCATGCACTTTCCTGAGTCTCTGAAAACAATCTTGACAAGTTCCCCAGGTCATATTGCTCATTCCTTCTGTGGTGGGAGGCACAGTCCTTTGAATGTCAGAGCCGCGGATGGTGGTTTTATACTGGATTCGTGGGATATCCATGCTGAAGCGTTTAGGGATGGTGTGCTGATGTTTGCTAACACAAACAAAATCAGTCAAGAGGCGAAAGTTTGAACAGACGTGATAAAGCAAGGAAGCAAATGTTACCTGGAAGAGCTAAGGGATGGTGTTCCTGAACCATTATTTCAACTTTTCAGTACATTCAACATTTTCATAGCAAAATGCAGGGGAAAACAATTCATTCAACATTTAAATTTTATTTTATTTACATTTATTAAAATTTATTATATTGATGACAATGTTGATGTTTATTTATTAAAGTAGGCATCAGGGGTACAATGATGAATGAGACATGGACCCTATTGGCGCTGCCCTAGAGAGACAAGCAGTGAGCAGATTAACAGCAAACAAGTTGGTGAGGGCAGCAGGAGACACACAGAATGTTCTGGGAATGTCAAAAAGTACCTACCACATTTTGGCGTGTGTGCGTGCGTGTGTGTGTGTGCAGGGAGCTCTTTCTGGGAGCGAGGCCAGCAAAGCTCAGCCTTGAATGGAAATGGAATGAAAATTAGCTTAGGGGGTGGGACAGGAATCCCATGAACAAACACCATGTGGTGTTTACAGGAGCAAAATGGGGCTGGGGACTGACTGGTCGGCTTTGGACAACTTGTGTGCCGAATCACCTGGCACTTGTTCACTTGATTCACTCTCTAAAAGGGCTGACTGGGGAAAGTACCTGAGGCACCAAGCTGGAGGTAAGGTGGGAGCTCGTGTAGGTGTTGCAGGCAGGGGACGACCTGCAGGCAGAGGTGGTGGGGCTGCACATGAGGGAACAGACCTGATGAATATTTGGGATGGAAAACTGGAAAACTGGAGATAGGGAACACATTGCTTGCTGTAGGAGAGGCGTTGAGGAGAGAACGATGGGCTTAGATTTGAATGTTCTGAATCTGAGTTGCCTGTGGGACTCTGAAGTGGAGCTGCCCTCTTTGGCAGCCAGAAAAATAAAACTGAAACGTAGGAAAGAGGTGGAGATATTGATTTGGAACTGAAAGAACAAGGTTTGAATCTGTGGTCGAAATTAACAGAGGAGAAAACGCAGAATAAAAATGAAAGGCGTGGGAGTTCCAGTAACCAGCACAGCGCCTGGCACAGAGGGAGCGAGTGGCGCCTATGTGCTGCACCGTGAATGAAAACGCCAGCGGGATCCCAGAGAACACGCATTCAAGGATGGGCTGAGGAAGAGGTGCAGGTGAAGGTTGGGAAACAGTTCGTGAGTATAGAGATTCAAGAGCACGTTTGGGCAATATGGGGGTGGGAGCGCGGGTTGCTGGGAAAATCTGTAGGAAAGGCGGATTGGTCTGTACTAACAAATGGAAAACACATCCAGAAAGATGAGGCCTAAAATCTGTTTTGGGCTCAACAATTAGGAGGGCCCTAATTAGGTGACCAAGGTGTTTCTGCAGAGTGGTGAGGGTAGGGGTGAGAGGGGGCAGGGGGCCGAGGAGGCAGACACAGGGACTGCTGTTTTGAGAAACATGATAAAATGAGAGGTCACTAGAGGATCAATGGGAGACTGCAAGGCTTTAACTAAATTTTTCATCCCACACATAATTTTGCAAGGAAGATAAATAGGGACATCATACCCATTTACCACTGTAACTCGTAATAAAATAAAATCATAACTCATAAGCAAACATAAAGGGTAAACTCTCCTTCAATTATGACGTGTATTCCTGTAGGAAAAAAGCAAATTGTGGTCAGGTTATATCGGCTCACCATTTAACACAATTTTAAAACGCATATGGACATTTATTTAGTGCCTATTATGTTTTTAGTCACTGAGCTAAACTGATCAGATGGCTCCCATTGAGAGGGAAAAGCTGAAATCATGGGCGAGTGGATGGTGACAAGGAGGCTCTGAAGAAGGCTGTGAGCCCAAGGCCCAGCCTGGGCACGGCCTCTGCCCCTCGGCGGCTGGAGTGGGCCTCAGGGCTGGAGGGTGGCTGCGGGTTTCAGGGGCTCAGCGCTCTGAAAGGAGAAGGAGACCTTGTGGCCTCGTGCTGAAAGGAGCAGGTGTCCTCCAGGGGGCTTCGCCAAGAAGGAAAGGCCTGGAACAGCCACCAAGGGCGCGGCTGGGTTAGGGTTAGGGTTGGGGTCAGGGGGAGGAACACTGGGGGAGGGTTAGGGTCAGGCTCAGGGTTAGTGCTCGGGGTGAGGTTCAGGGGCAGGGGCAGAATTAGGGTTAAGGTTAGAGGAACTGGGGGAGGCGCCTGCGCTGCCCTCGTGGCCGCTCCCACGTGCTCTGCGCCACGAGGTGTCTGCCAGAGGCCTTGGGACTCCAGGGACTAAGACCTAGAGCCATTGTGCAAGCCCTACGCCATGTTTCCACTCATTTTGAGGAATATACTACTGCTACACAGCTGATAACCTGTACAAAAGCGAACTTTTAGGTTAAGAGTTATACAAATGTATGCAATTAACCCTCTCCCCACACAACTTATAGTAGAGCTAACTAAAAATCAGAATTCTCAAGAAAAGGTATCATCACTTTCCCAAGGAATGATGAAGTCAGGAGACCCCAGCCAGTCGGTTCACCAGGATATGTCAATCATGGAACTCTTGTCCCAGTTCTGGTAGCCAAAGTTCTGTCCTCCAATGGCAAGGCAGCATTATCAAAGCTGGGCTCCCATTGGCTCTGAGATGTGGGCGGGGTCACCACTCCTGGAGCTGCCACTAGCTCCACCCCCATTTCATGCAAATAAAGTCAAAGCTGTGGTGAGTACATGTGATTGGTCACATGGTTGATGACACACTCTCTCCACCCCTTTAGTGACGTCATCGCCCACTCAAACTCTCACGAGAGTTTGCACAGATGTGGGGGGAACTGGCAGAACAGTTCCCTGGGCCAGAAGGGAGTCAGGGGGCCCAACAGGGGCCCCCCATTACCACTCCGGAGCCTCGAGTCCGGCTTTAGCCAGGGGCCCCCGAGGGGCCTGTGGGGAGTGCCAGGGGCCCCAAGCACACTCTGTTCCCATTGGCTGGCTGCGCCGACATGCAAATGAGGGCTAACGTCACTTCCTGAGGCCAATCGAGCGCCATTTTCTCTTTCTGGTTGCGCGGGAGGAGGGGACGAGTCGCGCCGGGGGTGGGCGCGCGCTGAGGCGGGGGTCCCGCCGCGCGGGGCGGAGGCGCGGGCGGGCACAGGCGGCCCCACGGGACGCGGCGGCGCCCGGTGGAAGACGCGGCATCGCTGCGAGAGGCGGCAGCGGAGACGCGGTGCTCCTCGGGCGCGGAGCGGTAGGTACGGCCCGGCTCGGCCCCGGCCCGCGCGGCGACGCCCCCTGCCCCAGTCCCGGCAGAGCCCCGCCCACGCCGGTACCCAGCCCACACCCACGCCCGCCGCCTGCCCTGGCGCTGCCCATGGCCGCCTAGGGAATCCCAGGACGTTCTCGGCGCGGGTTCGCGGCCCGAACGGTGCCCATCGTCCCCCGACGCACCCGCGGCCCGCCCCGCCCGCCGCCGGTCACGTGGGAGCGGGTGCCGCCCCGGGAGGGCGGAGAAGCGGACGCGGACCAAAGTGGAGAGGAGGAATAGGGGAAAGATGGGGCCGGGGACCGAGGGAGGGAAGGGGGTTGGTGAAGGGAGCGAGGAGTAGAGGGAGACGGGACAGGGATGGAGAAGGAGAGAGGGGGCGAGGAGCTGGGGCCACCCCAGTGAGAACCCCAGAAACGCCCTGGCCGCCCGCCGCAGCCCCGAGCCCAGGTTCTCCTGGAAGCTTTTCCCTGGAGCAGCGTTGAGCGACGGCAAATGTAGGGCAGGAGCTGACGGTGACACCTAAATCTGCCCAGGTTTTTTTTCCCCCGTAGAACGGTTTGAAGAACAGCTGATAACGGGGCCCTGTTTCTTCACCGTTGAGCTTTTGATGCGAGTATCAATAATTGATATGCAGATGTTGACTTTAAAATAACTTTTCATCTGCCGTGGCTGGTTGCGTTGAAATAGATTCCGTTTACAAAATTTCTACCGCATTCGGCTTTGGAATGTTAAACATCGTAACTGCCCTTTTCAGTATTTTACAGATTCAGAATGAGAATTAAATTTTTTGAAGTATTTTCTTTGAACAGAAGACTTGCCTGAGTACTTAAAACTTATTTTCATGGGTAATCACTGCCTCTTGGGATCTTGAGGAATCTGCTGGCTGTACGGGGTGGGGTGGGGGAGGAGAAACGGGTAAGCAGATAACTGACAATACAGATGGGCAAGTGCTGCAGCAGATACTCCTATATGCTCCTGGAGGACTGTGGGCATCTGGCACGCGCAGCGTTTATCAGAAAAGGGGGTTTGGAGTCTGAGTACGATTTGTGGGATTGAGCAGTCATTAGTGGGAGAGAGGACTACATGTAAAAAGGTAAGAGCTGTGTAAAGTACATGTTCAGCTATGGTTGGAAGTCGGTAATGTATGTGTAACTCATTTAGAGATGTTCCTGGAGAGTTGACCATGTATGGGTGTGTTTTAATATTTCAGTTAGAGTTAGGACTTCACTCAAGGCAGGATTGAGCCCGTGGTCCTTAAACATGAAAGTGACACATGTGTGTTAAGGAAGTACAGGAGTAGAGATGAGACAAGGTTGTCCTACCAGCCCTCTAGTTGAGGAGGAACAATGAGGGGTTAGGACATGTCTGAAAGAGATGATCACTGTTTATGGGGGAAGATGGCAACTATGCTAAGATTTTTAGGTGAAGAGATTCTGGGGTTTGGGAAACACCTTTTTTATTTGAACCCAAGTTTGCAGTATGCTGTTGGTTAATATATTATTGTCCTTATAAGTTCACCAACAGTATATTGCAAACTTGGGTTCTGCCCTGCCCTTCACCCTCTGGCCATCCCAGACCTGTTAGGGCAATGTGTTTCATAGGTGGAAACAGGTACCTCCCAATGATTTGAACCCAGATCTTCTGAATGTATGATCCAAATATTCTGTATGTTTAAAGTTGCCTTTAAAAAAGCCCTGTATTCCAGTCGTTGGGACATTTCATTTAGTTTTTTGGAGTTAGTTAATAGCAAACTCAGTGCTTATGTGCTATTTTGCATGTATTAACTAATTTATCCTCATAGCTATGCTGTGAATTACGTCATACTTGCTCTGTTTCGTGGAAGAGCCAGCTGAGGCCTAGAGAAAGTGATTTGCTGAAGGTTACGTAGCTCCTAAATGATAGATCTGATGTAAACTCAAGGGACACAGCTCCAGAATCCTTTCTGGTGACCATCATTTTGTGCAATTTCACAGGAACTAAATAGTCCTGTGGCTTAAAAAGTATGATTTATTACTGTATTACCTGAATGACTTTTTTTTTTGAGACGGAGTCTCACTCTGTCACCTGGCTGGTGTGCAGTGGTACGATCTCAGCTCACTGCAACCTCTGCCTCCCGGGTTCAAGCCCTTCTGTCTCAGCCTCCCTAGTAGCTGGGACTACAGGCACATGCCACCATGCGTGGCTAATTTTTTTTGTAATATTGGTAGAGACAGGGTTTCACCATATTGGTCAGGCTGGTCTTGAACTCCTGACCTCAGGTGATCCACCTGTCTAAACCTCCCAAAGTGCTGGAATTACAAACATAACCCACCGTGCCTGGCCAACATTTTTTTTAGAGCGTATTTTTTTTCTATAATAGAAAAACCTTAAGAGAACATTATACTAAAAAAAAAAAAGAGAGAGAGAAATCCTTTATATACCCTTTTGGAAAATAATATTTTCTTGTGCATATCAGTGGGATTTTATGGTAGTTCCATGCCTACCACAAACTTTGGGAATTGAGATTTATTTTGAATTGAGATTGATAGTTTACCCTAGTGAGCCTGCTGTTTAATAATGGTGAAAATACATTTTACTGAGCACTAAGAATCTATGGAGAACAGTGTATGTAGAGGATCTATAAACATGAAAACATTGAACTATTTCCTAGTTACTTCACCACTGGGCATTTTATATGGATCATGTATCTTAGGATTGATAAATTATGGTATAAGAATGGATCTAAGAATGAATAAAAGAATGGATAAATTATGGATAAAAGTCAGCATCCCTTCCCCAAAGTGATTGGCAACAGTTATGAAACTTCTGTAATTTACTTGCATTTTTTTAATCCTCTGGTGATTTCCCTAAAGCAGTTAGCAAACTGCTTAAAAAAAAAAAAATAAGGGAAACTCTCTCCACCCCCTTTTTTTTAAGTAAAAAGGTATTTGTGTGCTTTTGTTTAGGAGGACCGGAGGACCACAATAACAATGATGAAGGAATGAGAGCACTTTTATTTAAGAACAAAAAGTTCCTATTTTTCAAATTCAAGAAAAAAAAAAAAAGATCAGATTGACAGCCACTTAGACCTAATCCCAAGCCTTGAACAAGTAACCACAGAACACTGCCCAATCACTGAGAGCCTCATTTTAGTAACTCCTTTCTGAGATTCATGTACGTACAACCATGCTTATGTGAATCAGCCAGTCCCCGATCACTCTGCTTTAAAAGTCCACCATGGGGCCGGGCGCGGTGGCTCACGCCTATAATCCCAGCACTTTGGGAGGCCGAGGCAGGTGGATCGCGAGGTCAAGAGATCCCAACAAGGTGAAACCCCATCTCTACTAAAAATAGAAAAATTAGCTGGGCTTGGTGGTGTGCGCCTGTAATCCCAGCTACTCAGGAGGCTGAGGCAGGAGAATTGCTTGAACCCAGGAGGCGGAGGTTGCGGTGAGCCAAGATCGTGCCATTGCACTCCAGTCTGGGTAACAACAGCGAAATTCCATCTCCAAAAAACAAGGGGTCCACCATGTTTCTCAAAACCCTTTGATAAGATCAGCTCTTGCTGTGGGAGATGAGACTTTCTTGGAAGCAGTAAATTTAGCTTCCCTGTTTCAGAAAAATGTGGTGAGGGTCTCTACTTTAGACAATCCTGTTTGTCAGCCAGCTTTTGGAGAAGAACCCCAGAGGAAAGAGAGGATAGTGAAACTTTAAGGAAGAAATGAAATCAAGTCTGATAGACTCCGTGGAAAGCAGCTAACAAAATTTTTGTTGAGTTTTGCTCTGGCCAAAGAAGCTGGTCGGGCTAGAAAGTGACCTTGAGCTTAGTGTTTACAAGTGCATAATGAGGTTATGGCAGCTCTTCTATGGGAGTGTAAGCTTTTGAATCAGTGCATTTTATTGAAGAAAATTTTCAAACTATTTCCTGTGATTTTTATATCCTCCCAGTTCTGCAATGCTAATGATCCTTAAATCTCTCCTTTGGCTGAGACCAGGATACATTTTTCACATAGATAACTTTTAAAAGAAATGTAACCCTCCAAACAGCTTCTCAAAAGCTTGTTTGTGTGTTACCCATCAGAAATTGCTCGCTATTGTATGTTAACCCTTTCTGCCTCCCACTCCTTTCCCAGTTTCATTCCAGTCTACCTTTTTGGTTTTACTTTTGCTGAATAAATTCACGTTTCCTCGTTTACCTCAATCATCTTTGAATGCTCATTCACTCACCTTGTGTGTCTTGGGCACCAGCTTTCCATAACCATTCCCTCTGTTGAACCCCCAGTACTTTCTGCATATCTTATGGTTCTTATCCTGTTTTATGTTATATCTTTAGTTCATTTAATGAACATATGCTATGTACTGTGCTCTGTGATGGGACCCTCTGAAGCAAATATAACATGATGTCTGCCCTGGAGTAGTTCAACCCAGTATGAGAAATGGATATATAAGTAGATAATTGCTATATGGTGAGTAGTGCAGTGGAGTGGCATATGGTTATTGTGCCAAGTCCTAGGAGGGATCACTAAGCCTGTCCTTGGGTGGAGGATACACGAGAGGAGTGTAGAAGTAGAATTGTTTACTCAGAAATTGTCCTTGAAAATCATGAGAGGGCCAGGCATGGTGGCTCATGCCTGTGATCCCCGTACTTTGAGAGGCTGAGGGGAAGGATTGCTTGAGCCCAGGAGTTCAAGACCAGCCTGGGTAACATAGGGAGACCCTGCCTCTACAAAAAATAAAAACAATTAGCCAGGTGTGGTGGCACACACCTCTAGTCCAACCTACTCAGGAGGCTGAGGGAGGAGGATTGCTTAAGCCTGGGAGGTTGTTAAGCCTGGGAGGTTGAGGCTGCAGTGAGCTGTAATCAAGCCGTTACACTCCGGGCCTGGTGGATGGAGCAAGACCGTGTCTCAAAAAAAAAAAAAAAAAAAAAAGTCTTGAGAGCTACTGTTAAATTGCCCTGTAAATGTGTAAAAATTGTAATTTTTCTGCTTTTACTACCACCAGATGTTACTAATCTTAATAGCTGTTTTGATAGTAGAAAATTCACATTATTTTAAATGGCATTTCTTTATTAGTAAACTTGAATAACCAAATGTTTGCCACTTCAGTTTGACTAATACATATTTTAGTGTGTATAACCTACACTTTTAAATGTTTTTTGAAATAGTTTTAGATATATAGAAAAGTTACAAGTATATTATGAAGAATTTTTTTCCCTGAATCATTTAAGTTGCCACATTACCCTAAATACTGTTTCCTACAAACAAGAACATTCTCCTACATATCCATAACAAAATCATCAAACTCAGTATATCACTACATTCGAGTGGATTATATTGCTGTATACCAAACCACCCCAAACTTAGTGGAGTAAGACATTTTATTTAGAAAGCTCATTAGTTCTGTGGGTCAGTCTATTCAGACAGGGGAGGGAGATGGTTTGTTTCTGGTCCACAGTGTCTGGGGCCTCATCTGGGAAGACTTAAAGGCAGGGGGTGACTTGACAGCTAGGGGCTAGAATCCTCAAGAAGCATCTTCACTCCCATGCCGATGGTTGTTATGGACCATCTCCACATGGTGTCTCTGTGGGCTAGTGGGCACTTCCTACAAACGTGGTATCTGGATTCTAAGCATGATCATCCTGAGAGGTATGTGGCATTTTTATGATCTAGTCTTGGGATTCTCACGGCATTATTTTCTTCATACTTTATTGGTTAAATCAGCCACAAAGTTCTGCCCACAGGTCAAGAGGAGGGGGCATAGATGCCCTCACTTTCGGAAGGAGTTTAGGGCCATATTGTAACAGCATGTGGGTTGGAAGGAATTGTTGGGTGTTTGGAAAATTTATTTTGCGACGGGTTATATCTGTTCCTTGATATATGCCCAAATTGCCTCATATCTGGCCCATGGGAGCCCTTTCAAGCTGGTTACTTCTGTGCCTTGTTGGCATGCCTCATTGAGCGGCTGCTTTATATTCTGACATAGGATGTTCTAGGCTCATCTTGTCTTTACCATGCTCCAGCCATCTTCCCAAGGGACCCTAGTTATTTTTAAAAGGAAAGTAGTATTTGGGAATTAAGATTTGAGCCCTACTTGTGCCCACTGCTACTGGGTGTATAACTCTCAGTGGACAGAGCTATGAATGTATGTATGTATGTGGACACATACTCTCGAACTGTCTTTATTTTTATATCTGTGTTGAGAACAGTGAGTTCACTTCAGTAACCCCCAGTCTGGTCAAGCACTACAGGGTTTACTTTAATTGTATGCCTTTTTAGATACTGTTTTAAACAGCTTGTGATACAATTTACATACTATACAGTTCATCTATTTAAAGGGTACAGTGAATGGCCGTGAGCATTTTCACATCATATATACAGCACCACATTTGAGCTCAGAATGAAGAAGCCCTACTTCCATCACTTCCTAGCCTTGGCAGCCACTGTTGTGCTTCTTTTTTTTTGGGCGGGGAGTGGGACAGAGTTTCGCTCGTCACCCAGGCTGGAGTGCAGTGGTGTGACCTTGCCTTGCTGCAACCTCTGCCTCCTGGGTTCAAGTGCTTCTCCTGCCTCAGTCTGTGGAGTAGCTGGCATTACAGGCACCCAGCTAATTTTTTGTATTTTTAGTAGAGATGAGGTTTCACCATGTTGACCAGGCTGGCCTCGAACTCCTGACCTCAGGTGGTCCACCTGCCTTGGCCTCCCAGAGTGCTGGGATTGCAGGCATGAGCCACCATGCCCGGCTTACTGTTGTGCTTTCTATGGATTTGCCTCTTGTGGACACTTATATAAATAGAGTTATACAATATGTGGTCCTTGTGTCTGGCTTCTTTTACTTAGCATATTTCCAAGGTTTATTCATGTTGTAGCATGTATGTATTTCATTTCTTTTATGGTCAAATAATACTCCATTGTATGGATATCCAGTCGTCAGTTGAGAGGCATTTGGGTTGTTTACACATTTTGGTGATTGAATAGGGTTGTTATGAACATCCTTGTTTAAGTTTTTGTGTGGATGTATGCTTTTCATTTCTCTTGGGTGGAAGTGCTCGTTCATATGTTACCTATATTTTTAATCTTTTGTGGGACTGCCAGACTGTTGTCAAGACTGGCTCCACAGGTTTATATTCCCGTTAGGAATGTATGAGAGTTCCAATTTCTCCATGTCCTTGCCAATGTGTTTCCCTTTTTTTTTTTTTAAATGAGATATATCCTGGTGGACATAATATTTCTTTGTGGTTTTGATTTGCATTTCCCCAAATAGCTAATGATGTTGAGCATCTTTTTTGTTTTGTTTTATTGTGTTTTGAGATGGGGGTCTCACTCTGTTTCCCGGCTGGAATATGGTGGCCTGATCAGACTCACTGCAGCCTTGACCTCCTGGGCTCAGGTGATCCTCTCACCTCAGCCTCCTGGATGGCTGGGACTACAGGTGTGCACCAGGATGCCTTACTAATTTTTTTTTTTTTTTTGTTAGAGAGAGGGTTTCACCATGTTGCCCAGCCTGGTCTCCAACACCTGAGCTCAAACAGTCTGCCTGATCTGCCTGCCTCATCCTCCGAAGGTGCTGGAATTGCAGGCATGAGCCACTGTGCCCTGCCTGAGCATCTTTTCATGTACCTTAATGGACATTTTTCTTTGGAGAAATGTCTGTTCAGATCCTTTGCCCATCTGTGAACTGGGTTATCTGTTTTTTAATTATTGAGATACAAGAGTTCTTGATCTGTATTCTGCATTTAAGTTCTTATCAGAAATATGACTTGCAAATATTTTCTCCCATTTTGTTGGTTTTTTGCTTTTTTGATAGTGTCCTTTGAAGCACAAAAATTTTTAATTTTGAAAAATTCATCATACCTATTTTTTCTTACATTACTGGTGCTTTTTGGTGTCATATCTCGGAATTTCTTGCCAAATCCAAGGTCATGAATGTTTATGCTTATGTTTTCTTATAAGAGTTTTATAGTTTTAGGTCTTACATATAGGTGTGTGATCCACTGTGAGTTACTATTTGTGTGTGGTGTAAGGAAGAGGTCAACCTCATTCATTTGCATATGAATGTTCACTTGTTCTGCAACAATTTGTTGAAAGTTATACTCTCTTCCTAGAGTTTTACCAACCTTGTTAAAAAATACCTTTCTGTGTGTTATATATATCTACTTATTACAGCTTCATTCTCTTTCCTTTTAAGGAAAATTTCGAAAATGTTTCAAATTCCTGTGGAAAATCTTGACAACATCAGAAAGGTGCGAAAAAAGGTGAAAGGTATTCTTGTGGATATTGGGCTTGACAGCTGCAAGCAGTTACTGAAGGTAAGAGGAGATAAGTAGTCAGTTGAAATTTGGAGGTGAGATTTGAACTGGGGTTTTTTGAAGAGTGGGTAAGATTCCTGAAAATGGGAATTGCTATTATTATACTTCAGATGGCTTTGTGAATGCCTCCTTAGTACTTATTTATGTCTTTATGACATAAAGTGAGCTATTTAAACTCTTCAGGTTTTTAAGCTACTTTAAGGAAGGGATTTTTCTAGTCATTAGTTACTAAAAAATTGTTTTTGATGTTTGAGGGGAATGTATTGATTTATTTATTATTTTAGAAAAAGAAAACTAACTTCATTTCCCAGTATTAGAGTGATCAATAAATGGGCCTGATTGAGTTTTGTTTTTTTTTTAATCCTGATTTGTGTATTTGTATATATGGTCTCAGAAAAGTTAATTTTTCTAAAATTTTGTCTGTCCTTTTAACATTGAGAATATATAGTTGGCATATATAGTTTTTAAAAATGTTAAATGAGTTATTGTACATCATGCCTCTAAAATGTCAGCACTTTGGGAGGCCGAGGCGGGTGGATCACTTGAGGTCAGGAGTTGGAGACCAGCTTGGCCAACATGGTGAAACCCTATCTCTACTAAAAATACAAAAATTAGCCTGGTGCGGTGGCGGGTGCCGTAGTCCCAGCTACTCCGGAGGCTGAGGCACGAGAATCACTTGAACCTGGCAGGCACAGTTTGCAGTGAGCTGAGATGGCGCCACTGCACTCCAGCCTGGGTGACAGAGTGAGTCTCTATCTCAAAAAAAAAAAACAAAAGCTCTTGTATATCCTTGTAGTCATTGGTAATGATATTTTTGTCTCATCTAATCATTTGTACCATTGTGTTCCCCTTCATTAATAAATCTAGTCTAGGACCAGGTATTGTATTTGGTTGTCAGGTCTCTTTAGTCTCTTTTGAATATCAATTCAATTTTTTAAAGTAGAATTCTGTTATGAAATGTGTTTTATTTTTAGGTAAAATCTCAGTAACAACAAAAGTTTCTCATCCTCGAGTCCTTCGTTTTTGACTTGTCTGGAACTGAGCGTTGCTCCTGAACGTTTGCTTCCTCAGCCTGGGAATGTGTTTACGCATCTGAACTTCTTCATGACTGTGTACTTTGTCTTTCCAACACTTTACGGACAGGGAGACACAGTACTTCACAAAGGGAAATTAAGGGATTTGAATGGCTTAAAGCAGTTAGAGTAACTTGAATTAATACAACTAATTATTTTGGGGAGAAATTTTTCATATTTGTAGTTAGGCCTATATATTATGAAATTTTTGAAAATTTAAGTAACATAGAAGTTTTTTTATAGAAAACTTAGAAAACAGACACAGAAACAAGAAAGTAAGACTCACATGTAAACCATTACCCTGAAATATGCAGAATTAATATTGTTATGTATCTACAGATTTAAAAAAATGGAATATATTCACATTTTTTTCCTTAAAAGGATCTGATCAAATTGTGTAAGATACCACACTAGCTGTTTTTTCTTTTTCACTGAACCTCCTAGTAAGAACCTTTTTCCATGTCAAGTGCATTTATTCTGAATCCACTACAGCAATTAGAGTTCTTTGTTTTCAAGCACCAGAAACCAGTCTGACCAATTTACACAAAAGGAGCTTTATTAGAAGCCTCTTGGGGGGCTTACAAATCCAAGCTGACAGGAGAACCAACATTGTAAAGAGAAGGAACCAAGGGAACAACCTGTCCATTGTCCTCACCACACCTTGCTCTGTACTTCAGATTTCGGGGTGGTATGTCACACTGCCTTCCCATGAGATTTCTACAGCACATGTGACTTCAATCTTAGCAAGAGTTAACACCTCCAATAGGAGGCTATTCTTGTCAATAGCCTGGCTGAGAAAAGAAAGCCTTAGGAAAGGTAGACTCTTCCAAGAACTTTATCTTCTTTTCTAAAGTATGTCTAAACCCTGCCTCACATAGAAACTCTTCAGGAGTTGTTTTTTATAAAAATTAACATCTGATTAGAAATTAAATTGGATCTGGGTTGGGCGAGGGATCCTTGTCAAGTTGCCTGCCATACATTGGTGCCATCAATGCAGGACAGGGATGGTTGCCACCTTGCTGCACACTGGGATGCTGCAGCAAGTGTATTCAACCACCTCCCCCACCACCCCTCAATCTGTGCCGGTCCCCTGCTTGGGGCTACAGTGGAATGTGGACCTTTTGACAACTTGGTACAGTCCCAGGTGGAAGATGTGAGTGGGAGAGTGATTATAGGGTTGGGGACCAGGAGGCCAGATGGGCTTTGGGGTGAGGGTAAGGCAGAGAGCAGTATCAGACCTGGCCCTGTAAAGGATAAAGGAGGCAGACCATGTGTGAGCTCTGAGGCTCCAAGCCCTTGGCGTATGCTCATGTCCCATCAGAGTTCACTTTTATAAAACACAGATTCAAAGATAAATTGTTAAGAATTCACGATGGTTACCACTGAGCATGAAATCCCTTGAGCGCAGGCTTTGTGCAGCTGTGCTAGCTGCATGCACATGGAGCTGGCCCTGACTGGTATATTATCTTTTTTTTGAGACAGGGTCTTGCTCTTTTACCCAGGCTGGAGGCCAGTGTTACAATCACGGCTCACTGTAGCCTCGATTTCCTGGGTTCAGATGATATTCCCAAGTCAGCTTTCTGAGTAGCTGGCACTACAGGTGCACATCACCACACCTTGCTAATTTTTTGTGTGTGTGTATTTTTTGCAGAGTTGAGGTTTTACCATGTTGCTCAGGCTGGGCTCAAGTGATTCACTTGCCTTGGCCTCCCAAAGTGCTGGGATTATATGTATGAGCCACTGCACCTGGATTACGACTGGTATTTTCTAAGACCTTCCCAGGATTTTTTTTTTAAATGTAATTATTTATTTAAGCTAACATGTTAAAATATCGTTTCAAGGTGTAATTAATATAAAATAAGCAATTAAATATTTTATCCTCTTTCTCTTCTAAGTATATTAAAAATTTTTTTTGCAAAGTATATAACAAAAGTTTCCAATTTTTAAGTGTACAATTCTGTAGCATTAATTATATTTACAATGTTTTACAACCATCACCGTTATCTACTTCCAAAATGTCTCATTAACCTCTAATAGACACTGTCATCTTTGGGCAGCAACTTCCTACCCACACTCCTCACCACCAGTCCCTGGTAACTTCTGATCTACCCTTCTGTTTCTTTGAATTTGCCTTTTGGAGATACTCGATAAAAGTAGGATCATACCATATTGGTCCTTTCGTGTTTAGTTTATCTGTCTAGCATAATGTTTATAAGGTGCATCCATGTCGTATGTATAAAAATGTTATTCCTTGTTATGAGTCAGTAATACTCCATTGTATGAATATACCACATTTGATCAGTTCATCTGCTGGTGGACATTGGGATTGATTCCACCTTTGGCTCTTGTGAATAATGCTGCAGCGAACACTGGGGCACAAATATGTTTGAGTCACTGTTTTCAGTGTGTATACCTAGGAGTGGAATTGTTGGGTCATATAATTATTCTGTTTAGTTTTTCAAAGAACTGCCAAACTCTTCACAGTGAAAGTGTACCAGTTTACATTCCTACCAGAAATGTACAAGAATCCAGTCTCTTCACGTCATTTCCAACACTTACTTTTTTTCTCCTTCCTCCCTTCCCTTTTTTCCTCCCTCCCTACTTCCTTTCCTCTGTCTTCCTTTTCTGTTTTCCCTCTTTCACTTGCCACCCTAATAGTGTGAAGGGGAATCCCATGGTGGTTTCGATTTGCCTTTCCCTAGACAAATGAGTTTGAGCATCTTTTCATGTGCTTATAAGCCAATTGTATATCTTCTTTGGAAAAATGCCTGTTAAGATTCTTTGCCTGTTTTTAATTGGGTTGTTTGTCTTTATGTTGTTGAAATACAGTAATTTCCTTATTCGGGATATTAAACTGTTATCACCTATATGATTTGCAGATATTTTCTTCTGTAGGTTGTCTTTTTACTTTCTTGATAACGTCTTTTGTTGCACAAAAGTTGTTAATTTTGATGAAGTCCAATTTATCTATTTTTTCTTTTGTTGTTGATGTTTTTTATGTCATATCTAAGAATCCATTGCCAAGTCCAAGGTCATGAATGTTTTCTCCTAAGAGGCTTATGGTGGTGGTTCTCATGTTAGGTTGCTGATCTGTTTTGAGTTAATTCTTGTATATTGTGTAAAATACGATCCCGGTTTCATTCTCTTATATGTAGATGGAAATTCAGTTGTTTCTTGAAGAGACTGTATTTTCCCTGTTGAATGGACTTGGCACCTTTATTGAAAATCAGTTGGTCCTGGATATATAGGTTTATTTCCTTACTCTCAGTTAGATTCCATTGATTTATATGTGTGTCCTTATACCAATCCTGTACTGTTTTTTTGTTTGTTTTGTCCTCCCCCCCCTCCTTTTTTGAGACTGTGTCTCACTCCAGGCTGGAGTGCCGTAGCACGATGTCGGCTCACTGCAACCTCTGCCTCCTGGGTTCGAGTGATTCTCCTGCCTCTGCCTCCCATATGGCTGGAATTACAGGTGCCCACCACCACGCCTGGCTAATTTTTGGTTTTTTAGTAGAGACAGGGTTTTGCCATGTTGGCCAGGTTGATCTCAAACTCCTGACCTCCTGTGATCCACCTGCCTTGACCTCCTAAAGTGCTGGGATTGTGTGAACCTCCGTGCACAGCCCCAGTATTAAATCAACATACTGTTTTGATTTAAACAAATAGTCATTTTATAAGTTTTGAAATTAGGAAGTGTGAGTCTTCCAACTGTATTCTTTATGTCAGTATTGTTCTGTGTTTTTGGGGCCACGTGTAATTTCTTTCATATGAATATTAGGATAGACTTTTCCATTTCTGCAAAGAAGGCTGTTGGAACTTTGATACGGATTGGGTCGTATGTTACTTTGGGGATTTATTGGCATCTTAATAATACTGTCTTCCTATTTGCGAACATATTTATTCTGTTTCTTTAGGCCTTTAATTTCT